GCATGAAGGTGCGGCCCGAGGCGCTGGTCTGGACGCTGCTGTTGAGGGCCGGCGGCACAAAGTAGTTCACCTGCGGGGATTCCATTGCGCGCGAAGGGCGCGCTCAAACGGCGCCGGGATGCGCGGCGCTGTGCGTGCTGCACGCGCCTAAAGCGGGGGCTGCCCGCACCGCTGAGGCGGCGCGGGAGCGGCCGGCGGGCGGGCAGGGGCGCACAAGGTGGTGCTGACCGCTATCTCAAAGGCCCCCATGTGAAACATCTGCATGTGCCCCACGCGTTGGGATGTGAGAAGGCGTGTTTGGTGCGTGCCAAATTAACGGCAGCCCGGCGCCGCCCACCGTCTCCATCTTGCGGGGGATCCTGAATGGAGCGGTGTCGCGCCACAGCTGGAAGCCTGGGGCCAATGTGGGGCACGGGCGCGCGCGGAGGGGTTGAGCCGAGGGCTGATGGGTGCAGGCCCACGTGCAGGCGTACGCCCTTGCGCGGTTCAAGGAGCGGTCCAGGACCAGCGCCCGGGCGTTCTCGGTGGTTCTGGGATGGCCTGGCTGCGAGTCCCTCTGCTTCGCCTACACAAAACAGGCGACGGTGACGATGTGCATGGTAGCTCGACTGAAGCCAGGCGCCCCACCTCGGGGGCTGATGTCGCGGACCGTCTTGATGTCCCCCAGCGGGGTGGCCTTGTCGCGCGTCGCGCTGCCCATGATCTTGTGATCTGGCGCGAGCGGGCAGACGGAGGGCCAGCAGCCCCTAAATCAGCCCCCGAAACAGCCTTGGCGCGCGGCGGCGGCCGCATCGCCGCGCGAATTGCAGCAGCAACAGTGCGACGGTGCGCCGCGTTTGCTGCAGCCGTCTGAGCCCCCCCTGACCCCCGGCATCAAGGGGGAGGGAATTCGTCCGCAAGAAGCCTCGCCCCAGCGACATGACTGCCCCCGTCAGACCGCCTGGTGGGCGCCCGCAGCCCCGCCAGCACGCCCCCACTGGCTGCCGCGGCGCCCAGCCGACGCCGCTCACGGGTGAATGGGATGTGGGCCGGGTCGAAGAGGTTCTCGAATAGCGTCTCGTAGCTGCCGCAGGGGAGCAGGGTGGCGTAACAGGGCTGCGATCAGCCATCTGTGGGGAGCGCCGGGCTCACGCTAAAGCGCCAACGACGCCGCCCCAAAAATGCATCGGCGCGAAGCGGCCCCCCAGACGGCGCGGCCGCGCCGTCAACCCCGCGCCGCGGCGCCGGGACCCAATGAGACGCACTCCAACTTGGATTTGACACCCCTTGCCACAGGGAGGTTTTCCCTCCGCTCCCAACGCTGCTGGACACCCACCCATCCATCCTCAACACACCTCCTCCCCCCCATACGGAAAGTCCCCGTCTTGCCCACACAATTCCCCCTCCAAACCTGTACTCGAGGTCCCGCTGGAACCAGTCGCCCCCCAGCAAGGTCCATCCCTCGCGCCCCAGCTCCTCCGTAACCGCCGGCCGCGCGTCCGGCGGCGGCGGCGAGGCGGGGTCCCCCCACACCCACAAGAGGCCGGCCTGGGCCTGCAGGGGGGAGGGCGGGTGAATTGGGTGGGGGGTGTGGGGTGAGCACCACGGCTTGCAGGGGGGATGGCCGATGCTAATGAGGGAGTTGGTTTGTCGGGGCCAACTGGGATACCTCTCTGGAATCGTGGGCACCGCATTCGCATGCCACCGGCTGCGCCTTGCAGCAGGCCGAGCCTGCCGTCAGCCGCGCGCAGTCGGCCCCGCGCCAAGGCCGAAGGCGTCTGCGCCACCCTGCAGCGGCAGGGCTGGGCGGCGGGGCCGCTGCCAGATGGCGGCAGCGGCGGCGGCGGCTGCGGCGCCTGTCAGGCGGGCCCCACCTGGCAGGGGAACGACCTGACGCAGGCGCGGGCGCTGCCGCAGGCGGTGGCGCGCGCCTTTGGATCCTCGATCTGGGGGATGTCCCTGCGGCGGCGTGGCGCGGCGGCGGCGGCGCGCGCATGCGCGTGCGGATTCGACGCCTGGGCCCGCCGGGGGCGCTGTTTCGCCCACCTGAAAGCGGCAGGCAGGTGTGGGGATCCAATCTCTGTTTCGGCTGGGCTGTCCGGTGCGCGGGCGCTTGAGAACTCCAGCCAGGGGCCGCCTGCGAGCGGGGTCGCGCCCACCTGCACTTGCCCTCCGCGTCAAAGCGCCAGCCGTGGTAGCTGCGGGGCGACGGGTGGGCGGCAGGCGGGGGCGCGGCCGGCCGTTTCAGGCGCGGGCGGCTCCCATCTCGCGGGGGGCGGCGGGCCAGCGCCCGAAAGCGGCGACCCGGCGCTGATCCGCGCTGCATCGACTGCAGGCCGCCGTGGTCGATGCAACGCAAGAGCTCACCTGCAGAACAGCGTCCCGTCTGACGGCTCGATTCGGCCCTGCGACCAGGCAACGACAGGCAGCGTTGCGCGACCCTCTGCTTGCGGGGAGCAGGGCGGCGCGGCCGATGCTGCGACCTCGCCCATGCCATGCATGTTCCCCCGCTCGCCGCAGCAGTCGAACCAGCACACACATACCCCGGCGCGCACGCATGCACCGCGCACCTCGCTGAGAGGCGCGAGGCGGTGGGCGCAGCGGTCCTCCAGCACGCTCCACGCGCCGGCGCCGTCCTTCCAGATCACGAGGGGGATGCCCAGCAGCATCGCTGCAGTGGGCTTTGAGCCGTCCAGCTGAGCCTCCACCGCAATCGGCCACCACTGGCGCTGCCAGCTGAAGGCGGCCGTGGGGCCGCTGCTCGGCGCGGCTTGCGGGGCGGTGCCGGGCGCGGGCGCGCGCGGGCTGTCGGGCGTTACGGCTGCGACGGGGTCCGCCGCGGGCGCCGCGCTGGAGGTGGTGGTGCGGGCGTGCCACGGGACGCGGCCGGGGTAGTGGCGCATGGGGGACACTGGCAAGCCGCAAGCGAGATGGGGCCGCGCGGCGCCCCTGGCAAGGCTGTGAGCAGGCAGCACCTGCCTATGGGCTAGCATCTTTGTAACGTGCCTAACAAGTCTGGGCAGGGGCGAATGAGAAGCGCTCCAGATGAGGTCCTGGTTTGATGGGATGGTGATGAGCGCAGCGTGTGTTCCGATTCGGGCGACACACTCGCGACACCGTTGGTCGCTTGTTTGGTCAGAAATACGTCAAGAGTCTGGTGACAGAATTCGTGCGCATGGACTGTGTCTGTTTGCTGCCCGCGTCTGCGTGCCTGCTGCAAGAAGAGAACTCCGTGAGACGACGGCAACCAGCGTGCAGTCGCTGTTGACAACTGAGGTCTTCGATTTGTTTGTCAACTAAAATTGACGGTTTTTCAATAGCACTGCGTCATCTTGGGATCAGATCATTGGCCCCGCGCCATGGCGCTCTCCTCTGCAAGCAGTGTGCTTCGACAGGTGGGACGGGAAGAGTATTATTCGTAACCTGTGTTTGCGCTGATTTGCGGAGCACATGACTGACTCGCACGCATGGCCACCTGCAGGTCGCGCTCGCTCAACAGGCACCCGCGGCAGCCAGCTTGGTCTGTGGTGCCGTTGTGGCGCTGTCCCAAAAGATCGCGTTGACCGGGTACGCGTGGCGGCGGCTCGCGGCGGCCGCATGATGTGTGCAGGGCGGCGTGCTGCTCCTGCGCTTCTCGCGCTAGGGCCGCACGCAACGACACTTAGTGCCCGCCGCCCCCACGCCTTTGCTGCTGCTGTGTGCGTTGCAGACCGCACGCATTTTCGACTCAGGCGCAGAGAGAAAGCGGCGAGGACAAGGTCAGTCATCGCTGGGCAGGACTGCTGTGGCGCCGGTGACTCTGCAGTGGCTGCATGCGGCCCTCACGCTCGCACTATCAGCCACAACGCTGTTGTCCGGTCTGTGATGTAGGCACACCTGCAACCGCGATACTCACAGCCTCCAACACGTCCGTTCTTCTTGCCAGGGAGCTCCCTCTGAGCAGCAGCAGCAGCAGCAGCAAGCCCCTCCCTCTGAGGGGCCCACCAGCAGCAGCAGCAGCAGCAACGGCAGCGACGCCAGCAGCAGCAGCGGCGGCAGCGGCAGTAGCAGCAGCACTGGCGCCGACGCCGGATCCAGTGGAGGCGGGGCCAGCACTAGCGGCAGCGGTTTCGGCGGTTTTGCGGGCAACTTCAAATTGGGGTTTGACTCGTTCAAATCGAGGCTGGGCGCCGGCGATGGCAGCGGCAGCGGCGGCGCTGCCCCCGGGGAGCTGAGCGCCCGGGCGTCGCGGTTGTGGGCGGCGGCGGTGAAGGAGCTGAGGGCAGCGGTGTTGCCGCGGGACGACGCGGTGTCATTCACCAAGGCATACACAGGGGCGACATACCAGGTGGGCTGCGCGGTCAAGCGCGTCCCCGGGCCGGAGGCGCCCGTGCGGGGCCGATGTGCCCGCGCCCACGCAGACGCAGCGCAGCACGCAGCAGCTGGCGAAGGGTGATTCCAAGTGGCAAAGCCGGCACCGCGCGCGCACACGCGCAGGGCCCCGGGATGCTGCCGCGCTTCGCGGGCGCGCTGATTTTTGCGCCCCTGGCAGCAGGTTTGATCCCTCTGGCGCGCCTCATAGTCCGCCGCCGTTCTTTGCTGGCCCCGGCCCCTCCGCGCTCGGCTCCCCGCAGCCGTCTGACGAGCCGTACGAGGGCCCCAGCGCCCTGGCCCCGGTGAAGCGGCAGGAGTCGCGCTTTGAGAAGGCCTGGGAGGAGCTGCAGCGAAAGGTGCGGTGGGGGGGGGTCACCAACATGCACACGCACGCGCGCTGCGTTGGCCCGTTCTGCGCGAACCTGCGACCGACAGGCTGGAGCGACGCCCGCGCCCTGCATGCCGCGTCCGGCCGGCGGCGCAACCGGCCAGGCGGCCCGCTGCCGCTGCGCCCCCCAGCTCTGCCCCGCCCCGCGGGCAACCCGGACG